TGACTATGTCAGGCTGGTTTGTGCAGGCTGCTAGAGAAAGGGGCAGCTCACCTATAATGGAATAATTAAACAACATGCATCACAACACATACTGTGCTAACTTTACAAATACAGGATGCCAGAAAACTATGAGCTTTTACCAGAAAACTGTGAGCTTTTGCCACACGAGACTGTCCTACTGGCTGTATATTGTTAATGTTATTAATGCTGCACACACTGATTTTGACAATATATACTGTGCAGCCCTAATAGTTGTGTCATTTGAGAAATTAAATGTAAATTCTAGTGATGGTGTAGAAATTATCCAGCCAGTGTGGACTGGAGAAAATGTAAGCAAAATCGCACTTGTGCAGCTAGATACTATTATTTGTTAGCTAGCAAGACAAGTATTTAGTTTGGAACTAAATATTTAATTAGCTAGCAAGCTGAATATTTAGTCTACATACTAAATATTCTCACTAGCAAGCATTTAGCCTCAAGCTAAATATTTACCCCCGAGCTAGGGCTCCGCTAAATATTTAAGCTAATATTAAAATTCACCTCCCAATAACCGGAAGTGGACAATGAAAATAAAAGCTGAGTTTTTTTAACCTCTTTATGAACTCCTGCTGATGATTAATGTTGACGTCTGTTTAAATTAAAACTGCTCCTCCTTTGTTTTTAAGCTGAAATGTACAAAAAAGAGCAAAACAAAAAGATGACGAAGAGGTGACAGGAAGTAATTCAGTCTCGCCAGCTACGAAGAGCTGACCGAGTATGACCGAGTTTATTATATCTTCATATTACATAAACAGGTACAAATTTAGCTTGCTAATTAAATATTTAGTTTTAAACTCTGACATTTATGAATTAATTAATAAGATGTTGAACATATAACTTTGAAAAATGAGACTCCATTACTTTTCTCTTGCGGCTGTTAATTTGCTGTTGATTTTTACCTGCGTCACTTCAACTTTACAAACGACATCCCATATTGTTAGCGCAAAAATATTACTTTACTAATTATTAGAAAACGGGAAAGAAATATGGTTTTGTGACTTTCTACCTTGTCAAAAACATATTCAACAAATTTAAAAGATTCAAATTGTCATAAGTGCAAATAAAATGTTGTGCAAAACATCTGTGTTAAGTTTTGAGGCCATGGTTGGCGACAAAGTCTGACTCCCAGTGTCATATCACCTACTATAACTTAATGCCAACCAACAAGATATTTAGAATGGTCTTCCAGCCGAATCCTTTTGCTATATTTGTCACATAGAAAGTAGATTTGGTCTGAACTGCTGCGTTTTTTAGATAAATACAAAACCTTTGTCGGAAGCAAATCAGTGTCCTATGAGAAAAAAGATTTACCAAAGTAGAAGTTGGGACCATCATGAGGCTGAAAAAACTTCCCACAGGCTTTGGCATGAACATCTGCACCTTTGCTGACCAGCAGCTTTACGTAGGACAAACTCCTCCTCTCAATGGCTATGTGTAGAGCAGTCTGACCTATAATAAACATAGCAAAACATATTTTTTATATTTTTTTGTTGTTAAAAACCAAAAAGGACACTATTAATTGGTACTTTAAAATGGTGGAACATGGAGAAAGAGAGCAGACTGACAAGTTTAAGCTTTTATTCAGAAGAAAGTTTACCTTTATAGTAGCTGTCGGTGAAGGCGGCATTCACAAACTCTTTTATGTCACCGATCCTCTCTGAAACTTTGACCAGCTCCTCTATGGTTTCGTTCTTGCCATCTTTGAGGTGCAGCAGAGCTTTCATCAGGGCGGTTTTACCGTACGTCTGATCTGTGGATGTGACCGCATGTTGGGGGAGTCAGAACACAGATCTGCTGTTTGGGACACCTTCTGGGTCATGTACACACTTACACAGAGAGTCAGAGAGTTTCTTCATGTTCTGATGCAAGTACTGGTATAGGCCGTCCAGTTTGTTGACGTCCCTGCTGGCCACTGCTTCAAACAGACGCTCAATGGTGAATGTGGAGCTGTCTCTCTTTGGCTGTGATGCCTCACCTCGAATCCCTCTGGAAGCAAAAGTTGTTGCATATCTCAGGGTTTTTACTGCAGATCAAGCAGTTTGTTAGTCTATTATAATCAGTAATAAGTGGCTTGACAGCTCACAGTTCCCCTGCTGTAATGTAATGGCAAATTAAGGCAGAATCAGTTTATGTCTGTGTGCAGAGACTCACTTGTCAAAATTGAGATTGAATCGGATCTGAGGCTTGACCGGCTCCATTTCCTCCTGGTAGTCGGTGTCCATGGGGGCTTTAGGGGCCTCTTTGCTCAAACCTAAAGCAGAACCCAAACCATCCTTCTTTGGTGCTTTTTGCTTCTGTTTCTCCTCCTCCGTTCTGTCATCCGCCTCCAGATGGAAATCAAAAATATCTGACTTCCTCATCTTTACGTAAAACTCTGGTAATCTGGAATGAAACATGACAGGTGTTTTTACATTCAGTGGGTCTCAAAGGGAGCAATCGTACAATCATTTTTGTGTAAATACCTCCTGAGTATTATGAAATATACCATGATGTATTTTCTTGACTACTGTTGTGTTTTAACAATATACTTGAATTAGTTCTGGTTAGAAAGCTAACCATTCTTGGCCTGCGTAGTTCAATTACCAGTTGGTTGTAGTTTTGAGACAGAACAAATCCACGTTAACTCAGCTGGTTGTAGATTGGGGTTCCACAAGGCTGCTGTCTCAGTTCCTTGCTTTATTTATTGTAATAGCATTTATTTCAAATATTAGTTAGGCTGCCGTTAGAACCATATGATTCTGGTGTCATGACAATGGGAATGAATGTGATTAAACTCAAAGAGGTTATTAATAGGGGTGCACCGATAAATTGGCCTGATTTCCTTCATTTTGGGAGATTGTTCGATATTTGGTGTGAAGCCGATCTTATCCACCAATCTTATTTGCCTCGTCAAAAGTCTAAAAATCAACCAGAACGGTTCGACTGACAAACATGGTGAAGTCTGCAGGTTTGCAGTTAGCAATAGTCACCCCAATGTTGACACCTCTGCAACTTTCTTGCTATATTTAGCAACATTTCAAACAAACAAAAAAAAAAATCTGTATCGTCCAAAATTGGAATCAAAAGGTCAGGCTTTTCAAAGAATGGCAGTCAGCGATCGGCCAGAAAACTATAATCAGTTCACCCCTAGTTATTTATGATTTATGAAAGCCAAAAATGCATTGAACACCTGATTTTATACATTTTCAGTTGAAATTATAAATCCCATTCCAATTTCTTGACATCTTAATTGAAGCCCATCATTTAGTATTCTGTGCTTGAGAAAGAAATCCAGTCATTTGCCATTACTTTAGCTAAAGGACGTCTCCATCTCTTACTATCATGATAGAAAAGTAAATGCACAGATAATCTTTTCTCTTATCTCCTTTCGGGGAAGCACTTAAGAGATGTTGGTTCCTGAACCTCACGCTTTAAAGACACTGTTTACTCCACTGAAGTCTAACTCAAAGAAAGGCTCTTAGATACACTTAATGCCTTATTTAAATTGATGGTAGCTGATTTATTTATATATTGTCTAATTGTGTAATAGGTAAGTGTTTATATGCCATTTTCCACTAGTTTTAGAAAACCTTTATTAATTTCTCAATGGGTAATTTATCTTAAGCATATTTGTTTGTAGTTTATTTTTTCTATATCATTTTAGCTGTTTACCATATTATTTACAAGCTATGAAATGCATTTTGTTGTACTTTAAGCAACACTTAGCGCATTGTGAAATTTTACCCATTGATTTCAGAGCCCTATCAGATGTGTAAAAAAGCCTTGGGATAAATTTAGCTTTAATTTCATAACATTTCCTGCAGATAAGGGGGATCTTATTGCAAACTTCAGCTCGCCTCACTCAGTTTCTTCAGGGAGTCACTGACAGTGGTTAAAGCTGTGGGCAGGAAGGGTGCGCCAAAGCGAGGTTTCTTCTCTTACTGAAGAAACCTCTGAGGTTACATTACAGTCTCTGAATGCTCAGGGTTGTACATTATGATCTTTGTTTTATGACGAATCCTTCTGTGCAAAATTATCTCTAGAAGTTTCCTCCCCAGAATAAACCCAGCCTTCTTTTGTCAGGTTTTTGAGCCTCCGGTGCTCCTACGCCGACAGATGATGGCAGCCTATATTTCACTCTCAATAACAGACTCCTTCTGTTCACAACGTCTTACTGTAAACATAGAAAGACCTAAGCTTCTTTAAGAAGAACAGTCTGCTCTGTGGTATTTATACCCCTCCATCAACTTCACTTCTGACACCATGAAGAAACAGTGTTTACTGCCAATAAAAAGCTTGATCTAAGTCACATCGGTTCCAGTTAAACCCCCACTGACAAACTTCACATTTGAATATGTCAGATCTTTCTTCAAAAAGGCTTTTTGATCTCAATGAGACATTTTTCTTTCCAGAATAAACAAAGGGTACAATTTGTGATGAGCTCTAAAAGGCTTCTTTTTTTTCTGACATCACACCCATTTGGGAGATAAATTGTTTTTATATGATTTGGAGGCATTGCGATTTTGGAAGCTATTTGATTTCTCGTGTCTTCACGTCTTTCCGACTATTCATTTTTTGTCACTGTTCCAGATATTTGACAGTATCATCTGCATACATCTTTACTATTTTCAAGCATTTTCACATGCAAGCAAGGCATCCATATTTACAGCCATAACCATGACTGTAAATATGGATGAGTTTATTTTCCTGTGGCATTTTCTTGATTGAACAAACTCTGCCTCATCCGGATGGCATGTTCTCTAGTCTTTCCCATTTTTTATGCCATGTACGCCAAAGGGAAACAAAAAGGGAATTGGTAACTGACTAAAAGTTAATTAAAAGTTAAAAACTCTTATCTATGTGGATGGTAAAGTACACCTTGAAAAATGCTTGATTTACAATTATTAATCTGAATTTTTATTAAACGATGTACAGAAGACTTAAGTAAAAAAAAAAAAATCATCTTAAAGGGGCATTTGTTTCACCACTAAATAAATTTGCACAAATTAACGATTGATATTTTAACTCTATGTATCCATGAATTTATTAAAAAAAAATTTAGCATGTTTTTCCAGTGATTGATTGATTGAAAGCTCTCAAGAGAAGAAATCTCAAAACATTTCAATCACATTTGGACATATAAACCTTCCCTCCACTTGATCAATTACATGGCAGACCAGTTTCCTGTAACCAATAAGGAAGCAGACCACTGAGCATGCTTAAATCCAGTGTGAATCATGTTAACCACAAAGTTTCACATCTCTGGCCTTTAAATACACCCTCATTTCTTTCAGACATGTGATCTTTCCTTCCTGGTGACCAACAAAGATGTTTATTTTGAAGATTTCCATGGCAGCAGTTACGTACACAACACTTGATCTGACAACTATTTGCTTCTCCGGGGTCAAATCGAATTCTTTAACAGCAGAATTTATGAAAGAATCCATTCAACAAACGCAAAATGTGAGATATTCTCCCAGAGTTCAGTTCATCACAATAAATCAGACTGCTCAGGAAGCCAGGGGAGGTTTCAGACTATCGTCGGTGACTCCTTGTTCTCCTTTCCAAGAATAATGGGAAATCACATGTTTGGACCCCCCACCGTATGATTATTACACATCAGCACAGCAACAAAAAAAAAAGAGGAAAACAGAAGTAGGTCCATTTTATTTTAGCCTTGTCTGAGTTGTGAAATCATTCAGTCGTGCCACAAATATAAGGAAAACACTCCTCCATAAAAAATCTTTTGTGGTTGGGAGTCTGTGCAAGAGCACGCAGCTCATGTCTGAATTTCCTGTAACATTAGAGAACGTATTGATTCCTGCAGCTCAGAAATATGAGATAAACTGCAAAAGCACAAAATAACAGTGGGAGCTGATAAACATGTCATGAAAACAATAGGCCACCACCCTTGCAGCACTCCCATAACCTCTAAAGACAATTTAAAGGTTGTTCTATAATAAATATTACAATGCAAATAAATGTGTAACTTAACTCACCAGAATAATCCTGATGGTCCTGTTTAGTAAAATAAAAAAAAATCAGACAACAGTCTGCTGTCCGGCTGAGATCAGGGCATGTGAATCCTGTGTCATAAGATGCTCACTTAACAAGAAAGGAGAGCCTGAGTGGGTGACCAAGCCCACATCAGATCCTACACATCTGAGTGCTTAAAAGGCTGCTGTATTGACCATCAGTCCTTCCAAGAACATAATGCAACACATCAACCAGGACTCAACATGCATGTGCCGCTCAGACTGCAGGAGTATCGTCCGACTGAAGCATAAATTGACTTAATGATGACTTCAGCAGATTTCCTCCTGCGTAAAAAGTTTCTACTTAGTGAACTGAAAAATGTCCATCAATGATACTTTCAAATATATTGAAAGTTAAATATCCTCATGTTTATAAAATAAATAAAAAAAATAAAAATTATTAAAGACACTTACCCTTCAGGGTCCGAGGATGTTTGTCTGGTTTTCTGGCATCTGAGCTATGCCTTTCTTGTCTTGTTCTTGTTAGTTGATGAAGTCGCTGCAGAGCTTCCTGTGTGCAACTCTATGCGCTTTCATTTCAGTTTTCAGCTTGTGTGTGTGTGTGTGTGTGTGTGTGTGTGTGTTGTCAGAGCTGCTCTGATCCTGTGACTCTTTGTGGTTTGAGAGCTTCTGCCAGCCTACATCACTTAGGTTAGTCTTCATGAAATGTTGACTTCCTTTTCTTTAAAAGCTGCACAGTTATCTGTGAGATACTTGGATATTCAACCTCTTGATCATGGTCACGTTTGTTCCTGCAGCCTGTGATTTGGATCCGCTTCCTTGTCAGTTTGGCCAGTGGATGTGAAATATACTAAAACCAAAACCGTAACAGGAACTGAACCAGAGGGGCACCGTCTGAAGTAGCTGCTGCCATGCAGCTGTTGAGCAAGCTAGGATGCAGGTGCTTGGATGACAATATAGTTAATGCTCGCGTGAATATTATATGATATTAGGAGTACTGATGCCTTGCTTTTATGTGAAAATACTTGAAAATAGTAAACATGTATGCAGATGATACTGTCATATATTTAACTGAAAAGATGCCACAGCAGACTGCAGAGTTGTTGGTCAGGCAGATGCTAGAGGGAGTCTGGAGGGGTCGCTGAATGAGGTCAAACTGCAGACTTCTCTGGTGATTAGAGGTATTGTCTTCCTCTGAATGCTGTCAGTATATGTTTCTGCACCGTATTACTGCTGCATTTTCTGTTGTGAAACGGTTTGCGTAAGCATAAAATATTCTGCCTTTACATATTTATTTATCCGCTATACCTTTGAAAGTGTTAATAGTTCCAGTCGTACTAAAATGATTTTATTGAGTCATTCATAGAGACTGAAAACATGATGATAAACTCTTACTTACTATTTTTACTCTCATCAGTTTGAAATGGCTGATTAAAAGATGTTGATTTCAGACTTTTATTTTTACCGTCAAGCTTCAACAACAGGTGAAACAAATGAAAATCTGTGAACGTTGAGGCTCAAACACCTCTACAGTCTAGCCTGCTTATTTTTGTCCTCTTCATTATGAATTTTGTGTAAGAGAGTGAAACCGATGAACCATGGCACAGACCTGGACGGAGGATCACTGATCCATTAAATGGGCAGATCAAATTCTAAGAAAGAATTTGTTTTCACTTTGAAAACCAACTGGGACGATCTCATGGCAAAATGACCAGCATTGCAATGACTACAGAGTCCATTAAAGTCGTACTACTTCCATGTTGTTGGAATCCATTATGGATAATTCAGCTACAAAGTTGGGCTATTTTGTTAATAAATTCTCAGACTTGATTAGAAATAAGCGTGTCAGTGATTATTCCTGGTTGTGTGAAGAGTTTCTGAATTCATTCCTTGACAACAGACTGAGTTTGGCTTATGATTTAAGAGTTGGTACCCCAATTAAACTAAATAATATTCGTTTTATTAATTTAACAAATAATAAATTATTGATCACAGTTATTAATAATTACATAAGCCAAACACCAACACAGGCTCTGCCTGTCTGGGGTTGAATCCCCCGCCTGGTGAGTATTGCCCCATGCCTCTGCCCTCCTCATAACCCACGATCCTGTCTCTGACCACAGAGCCGACCAAACCTTAAAAAAACATGTTGGTGGCAGCAGCATGCTGTGGGGAAGTAGCAGATGTATGACTCCAGCTGAGGAGAGTCAGGAGGTGTGAAGTCAGCTGGCATGGCGCAAATGTCAGCTGCTTTCACAAAAATATGCCGCAGCATATTGGAAAATATAATTCAATACATTGAGCAATATATTTCCACATATGAGATTTCGTATTTACATTTTCCAATATATCGCAATATAACCATAAGTCATATATATGTATATAATGTATTCAAAAATGAATTAGGAAAATTAACATATGAGAATATATTACAATATACTTGCAGTAACACATTGGTAAATAGCATTGGATTTGGATTTTGTAATTGATTTCAAGCTTATTTTGTGCTCAAATGTAATGAGGAAAATTTCAGAACAGGAATATGGGACATTTTATTTCATAAAGACTGTCATGCATTCATCAGGTCAGCTTTTGTTAGACTTCAGACAGTTGATGGCAGAAAGGCTCTCTAGTGGACACAAAATGACAAAAATTGACTTACTTATTTAAAATGCATAAGCATGAAGAAAACAATGCAACAGTGATGATAATGATGAACTGGCTTCCTGTTTCATCTACTGGTGCACTCATGTAGAGCACCTGCCTTCTTGCTTTCTCTCTTCACACCTGCAACCTGTTAGTGATCAGCCCTGGTCTTTCAGCCTCCAAGTATTAAACACGTCTGCTGTCACTCCTTGCATGCAGTTAGTCACTACTTAAGTAACAATATACTGCTTTGAACAAATAAAATAAATTGTTTGGTGTGCATACTTATTTATCTTTGTCTTGTAGTATAAATGTGTTGGGTTCAGGTAGTTTCATATGCACACAGGTGGTAAAATAGATTTTTGTCAGTCAGCCAGTGGGCGAGGCAGCCAGTCATGCAGGAGTCGGAGCAGGAGAGGCAGCAAGTAATCCTATGGCATGTACCTTATTGTTTAAACTTGAAATAAACACCAAGTGCAATTTCAACCTTTTTTGCGCTGTGTAAACTACAAACCCATGGCACCTCAAGTGATTATTTCATTGCGTGCTTTCTGTTTGATCACTCAAGTTTTTTTTTTTTGTTTGTTTTTTTGTTTTGCTTTCAAGTAGTCAATACAACAACCAAGTTCATCATAAACATTTCCAAGTCAGTTCGGGAAACAGTTCAGGTTTTTCTCTTTTACACAGCAATATGTTTGAGTTGGGAAAACTTGTTGATCATATCATTCAAACTGAGCAGCCATGTTTAACAACTTCTTCTCCTCCTCAGACATACAGGATGAGAGCTCAACTAAGAGGACTGAGACATTCTCCTCCTCCTCATTGTGCTCTCCATGAAAAAGCCTCTCCAGCTTCTCCCTGTGGAAAAAACAAGGAAATATTACTAGGTCTACAAATATTCAGTATTGGAGAAAGGAAAAGCTTCAAACCTATACTAAATCCTCTGGAAGTGCTGTCCAAATCAGTCCTCTGGCTCCGATCACAGTATCCTGGATCCTCACTGATGTTGACCAGGTCGGTGTTCCATTTGTTCCAGTTCATTTCCTCGACCCTAAGGACACAAGGCGATGCATGCTTCCATTACTTACCGCTGTGCAACACCCGAGGTAAATAGCTTGAAACCTTGTGAACTGTGAATAATTTTTTTCCTCAGCAATACTAGGGTTTCCCCAAGTGTATTGTAAGTCTGGCGGGCCACCAGTCTTTACTTGTGCCCCCACCAGGCTACACATTGTTAGTTTTTTAATGATTGCATTTGTTTTAAGACTTTATAGTTGGTGTTTAGGCATTAATCTTCCAGTCTTCCAATAACACATAATTACCAAGTGATCTTTCCAAATTTCCTGTCAACTTTAAACATTTTTTAAACTAAAAATCACAGCGAACCGCTGGATGAATGACTGCCCCCCCCTGAGCACTAGGTTAAACAAGTTTTCTGGGGAAAACCCTGAATATAATCTGTAAACTTCTGATTTTGAAGAGATTAAAACTGTAAAATATGTAACCTTTCTAAAATGTTTTTTACATATTTATTATTTTATACTACTGCAATCTGCATATTTGCACCGCTCCTAGTGAAAAACAACTAATCAGAGCCGGGTGGAAGGTGGTAGTGCTGTCAATCATGATCGTGTATGTGCTGCTTAATGTGATAATGGGGGAGAAACAACACAGTGACATATTGCAGCTTTGATAAACAGACCTCTCATATATTCCTTATCTCATTATTGTGGGATTTAGCAAATATAAATCCTGATCATATTTCAGTGACGCTATTCCACTGGATTAAATTATATATTAAGGTTTATAATAACAGCATAGTGCAAACTAGCTATATTGAGCATTCACACTTTGACCAAAGGTTTGGCAATAAGATATAAACAATAAATACAAGGAATGAATAATGAATATTAACAAATCACCAGTGGGTACAGCATTTCTAGCACTGTTGGCTCGCAGCAACAGTGCTAGAAAGGCCAACTGGATTTCTAACCCCCAGTAATTTATCCAGGAATAATGGATAAATGGAATGAATTGATAAATATATTTAATCATTTAACCTGGTTGGAAGGTGGGTGGAAAAGAATCAGGTTTTATCAGTGACAAAACTATAAATATGTTTCACAGCCATTTATGTGTTTGAGTAGCTGAAACAAACGTAAAGAGGCCTACCTGAAACACCTTCGACGATCGTCTCCAAAAGCGGTGCCGAGTTTCCTCTCCACCCCAGAGCGAAAACTCTTTTTCAGGCAGCAGGGTAGCCTCTTCTCCATTTCCAGGATTGTGAGAGCCCTCTGGAGACGACCACACCAACCCGTTTAAAGCCCACTCTTCAACAGACACCAATGTGGACGGCATTCACTTACCTGAAGCCCCCAAATGCCAGCGCTCTCCATAGTGGTCTTTTTCACAGTGTTGTTCATTAAGGCTATGAGCAAGTTGAGCAGCAGGATGTAGGAAAGAACGATGTAGCCGATAAGGAGCAGGTAGAAGACCTCCATGTACTGGTGAGTATGGATGAACTCAATGTCGCCCATGCCGATGGTGAACTTGAAGAGCTGCAGGATGGTATGAGAGACGTTTTGGTAGTGAGGTGTGACACATTTATTATTAGTTGTGGAGGCATCAGAAGGACTTGGATTCTCTATTTTTGTTTGGTTTTTTAGTTGAGGTTCCATAAGCAGTGTGACCAAGGCTGTAACAAGAGACAAATACATGGTGAAAATACTGACAAGCCTGGAGTTGTTAACTCTCTGTTTACTGGAGCTGAGATAAAATACCTGCTGAAAATCCCAAGAGGAAAACGATGTAAACAAAAAAGAAGCGCAGGATATCACTGACGATCATCTGCAAAGAAATCAGAACTTAGACGTCAAACAATCCACTTTAACATCAGTCACAGCTGAGTGGAACCCCTACCATCTGTATCATGATGCTGTAGATGCCCATGTGTTTGTGGCCCCTGGAGTAGTAGAGCACATTCACCCAGCTGAGAGCCAGACAGATAACCAGGAAGCCCAGATACTCCTGCCTCCCCGCCCAGTACAGAACAGTGGCCACCAGGAACAGTAAGCCCTGAGAGAAGCTAGCAGCACATGCCCAAGTCATCACAGTCTTTGGAGAAAAAGTCATATGTAGTGAACTTTTTCAAATATTGGCTTGTTACAACCACAAACGTATGTCTTGACTTTGGAATTTATATCACAAAATAATACATGGTCGTGTATAGTTGTGCATAGGAAGAAACTTAATAATTATAATCTGCTAAGTGTTTGTTTAAAACCCAACACCCAGTGAAGTCCTCAAAATGTCACCGTGTTTCTATGCCAGACAATCTGAAACTACTATTGATCAAATCTGTAATAAAATAATAGTAGAAAACGTTACTCACAAGAGAATCTCATAATATCCATCAATCAGCAGTGTCTGCAGCTTTGGCCGCTTCCTCGTCATGCCTACAATCTGGGGATTATGACATTATAGAAAAAGATCTCTAACTCATTTTCATTTTGGGACACAAGATCAGGAATATCCTCAAAGGGCCAGTTGTGGCTGAACGTATTGATCAGACTACCCATTAGCAAACTAATAAATAGTTATCTCTGCATTTTATGAGCACTTAAAGATATTGAACGTCTTTTCAAATTGATGTAATTTGGTAGTATACAGACAAAGATGCATTGATTTCATTGATAAAATAATTTGTTGCTTATCTTTAAGCTGTTTTTTGAAGGTCCTTTTAATGAAGCCCTCTAGAGTCAAGAGGGCCACAAAAAAGCCAAGGCGGGTCAAATTTGGCTCCCAGGCCTTGACTGTTATAGAGGTCTTAGTAAACTTAAACTTATACAAGGTGCTGATATAAACCAATTGTGGCCCACCTACCCCAATGACAAAGAAATAGCAGTTTGCAAGTAAAGTCAGCAGCTGGCCAAAAACATACAGGTAATCCCAGGCGTCGTCAGGGATAAATGGAAGCTGTGGGACACAGAGGAGACATCAGTCCAGGTCCATCTCAGACTCTGTTGAACACTGTGTAAATCTGTTTACCTGTGTAGCATCTTTTTTATTGTAGGCTACAGTAGTGAAGATGAGCAGGTACACAAGGTAGACCAGGAAGTTGAAAAAAAACATTCCTCCTCCATACTTCTTCCACTTATCCTCCAGGAGGCAGCTGAGCGGCTCCTTCTCCAGCATCTCGTGGCGGTTCTGAGAAGAGACACGACCTTGTGACCTTGATGACAGCTTAAGGTTTTTCTGAGTTTGCCTGCAAAGCTGGGACTCACAGGAATTTCACTGCCATATATCAGAATTTCCAGAACAGAGTTGTTCTCGTTTGTGTCCACAGAGGACAGGTCGTACAGAGAACTGTGGACGGGTCCGTAAACCCACTCAGTGAATTTACGGGACAAGTGCTTGTAGTGATTCTCCTGGAATTCCCTTTGGAGGATGTGAGAAAATACCTGCAGACAAATAACAGAAGTTACTTATGTTCCACATCATATTTGCCATAAATTCACAATAAATTCACACCAAAACATGATTGGGGCAATAAATAAGGCTATGAGCACTTTGGCGCCATAGTTAGTGTTTAGTGTAAGAACTAAACAACCATATTACTCTTATTTTCAAAAGAACAAATCATTAGTCTGAGTTTGCATTTACCCCAATCTTGCCATTCTTGGCAGCCAGTTTGAGAGGTGTGAGTCCGTCGTTGTTCTCTTTCTCCTCCAGCTTTATCTTGGGATGCAGTCGGGCAGTGATCTTTAGGATGCGATCATAAATGGCCGTTATGAATTCTGTGTTCTCCTTCGAGTTATCGGCCACCAACACCAGGGCGTGCAGCACTGTGTTGCCGTGAGAGTCTGCCATCTTGGCTTCCGCTGGATTCTCATTCTCCATTAAGTAGCTGACTATGTCAGGCTGGTTTGTGCAGGCTGCTAGAGAAAGGGGCAGCTCACCTATAATGGAATAATTAAACAACATGCATCACAACACATACTGTGCTACCTCTGAGAAATGGTGGTTGAGGCGTCATGCTGAGGGTTTGTTGCACGGCAACTATTAATGGTGAATTTCACAAAGGAATTGGGGAAAATAAAGTGGAGCTTCCTCCAAATCTGTCAACTTTCCCTCATATTGCAGTAAGATGGTTGACACACTTCGTTGTTCCATCAAAATAATAATCCCAGATATCCATCAAAACTGGTAATGGAGTGGATAAAGCATACCAACAGATTCACGTGTGGTATAACAGTCAACTATTGCCTCAGCAGAGGCAGAGCCAGAGGGGAGTCGGGGGGGCCAGTGCCCCCCCTTTCATCTGATTGGCCCCCCCAGTGGCCCACCCTGATGATTGACATGTAACAGCACCAGGTCATTCCTGTACATTATTTGGAATCCTTCTAAGCCAACCTAATATCTAAAGAAAAACAATAATAAATATATGAAAAAGAAATCTGCACAGCTGCTATAAACTTATCCCATCTCTGAATAATGTTGTTTATGTCATATCCTACATGCATATCATCTAGTGGTAAAAGTAAAAAAACAAAAAAACAAAAAAAAACTAGTATGCTCTGGACTGAAGATGGAGTACACATATTCATGACATACTTTGATTAAATTAATAAATTAATTCCAGTACCGAAAAATTAACTTTATACCAGGTGAGTCTCTCTCACCTGAGAATGTGAACCTGCACTGGGCTGATTCTGTGCCTTCAAATAACTTTAACAGCTCCTGGAGAAGTTTCATAACTTATAAGTCTGAAACAGGAACAGGTCTGAAAAAAACTGTGCTACAGTTGAGAGAGATTCCTTTGATGTATCAAAGAGTGATGTCATCACTGCTGATGACATTGTTACCATAGGAACTGAATATTCTAATGGTGCATTCACACCAAATGCGCTTTGAGCGTCAGGCGAGTCTGGTTTACATTCAAAGTCTTATGTGGAGCGTCCAACGCCGTGCTAGACTCTCGAAACGCGCCACAACGGCCCTCAACGCGCCTCCACATAGACTTTGAATGTTAACCAGATGCGCCTGACGGTCAAAACGCGTTTGGTGTGAACTCACCATTATATGTACAGTGTCATATCAGGTCCATCATATTAGGACCAAAGCCTGGTCCTAATATGATGGATTCATTGTGAATTAAGTTTTAGTTAATGTTAGAGTTGGGGAAAATGTCTGG